ATTAATCGTATTATAGTTATACTTCCACAAATTTCATTTACCTTTGGCAAAAATTTTGGTAAATCTTAGATCGAAAATTTTTAGATAGTTCGAAATTTAGCTCAATTTATTTTGCAATTATAAATTAACCATTTTATCAAACTCTGACGATAGAAAAACTGCTGGTCTATCTGAAAATATCATTCTCGTCGCATCATCGTTGATGTTGCTGCTTGATTCATCAATCAATACGTGCAAGCTTTCTTCTGCACTGTTCAACTTAAATAAATAAATGAAATTGCGACATTTCATAATTGCATAATAAAAGCTTTGCACTCAGTATTGTGCTAAATTCAGTCAAAGGAAAAAAAAGGGAAAATGCCGAAAAAAAATAATGATTTCTTAAAAATGAAATTGCACTTTATAAAGACAAAAAAAAATATATACCAATCCCATAAGAGATAATTGATTCAAAGAAGTGAATGCATGTTTTTCTTCTGACTGATCTGTAAGCCTTCAATCTTTTTTTAAATCCACAATGAAAAGAGCTAAATAAATTAAATTTAAATTGTAGCTAATTATAAGTTTCATAGCTATGAAAACGCTCGCATTCGAATGCCGAAGTTTTTCAAAGCAGAAAGAAATTTTTGTTTTAGATAAATATAGTTAATTTGATGATTAACTTAGAAAATTAGCATAAAAAATTAGCATAAAAAAATTTAAAAACTAGTTTAAAACGGTTCTTTGTTTATAAAAATGACAACCCGCAAGTGCTAATGATTTTGATTCCAAATCAGAATTTGCAGAAGCAGATATGTGCCTAAAAATATTGTCAAATATACTTAAATATACTTAAATATACTTTACAAATATACTACTTATAAAAAAAGCATCTTTCACAGTTCTATAAATAACAGCCAAAATATTGTATCTCACAAGGTAATGAAAAAGGAAATAAAAAAACTTACTCGCTAGAAAAACCATCCGTGCTATTTGTCTCTTGAACTGAAATTATAAGTTATGTTTGATATATAAATTAAATTTTTCAATAACTATTTTCAAAAATGAAATAAAACTGACGGTTGAATATCTTCACATTCCTTATGATTTACGAAGATACATATTCATTTATGAGATAAAAACTAAAGAAGCTAACTATATGGGAATAACGATGTTAAAAGATAAATATTAGAGGGGGATAATGGCAGAGTACTAGTGTTTTTTTTCGATTAAAGTCAAACTATCATATCCTAAATTTATATACTATTTCTTGAAGGGAATAAAAAAACGAAAGTGGAATTTGGTGTATTATAGACCCATCAATACTTCCATTATTTTCTGGCGAAGACGTCTCATCCTCGCAGTAAATGGAGAGAATTAAAAAAGAAATGGTGAATTAGTATTAAAAATGTGGAAAGAGTAAAGCAAATCATTTTAAATAAAATAGCATATAGCGAGAGAACAGAAATCTTTAGTCGAGATAATAAATAAACCGCTGGTGACGACATAATAATGAAAAAGAAAAAACAAAGGGTGTATAGGGCCAATTACTAGGATTATATGATGCAAGGAGATAAAAGTTAAGAAAAGTTAAGAAAAAAAATGGAACGCTTATTATCTTGCTGCGGACATAAGACAGGTATTTACGTTATATATACCTCGTGACTGTTTCGAAAACTATTAATATTTTAAGATATACCTTAAACATATAAATAGACCTTGAAACGTAGTATGCTGCAGAAAATTATATTTTATAAAATTATAAAAGGCATTTTCTAAATTGAAAGGGATACTTACGCTTGATTTGCTCTTGCTGAGTTGTTCCATCAAATTCTGTCGAATTTTTATCAAAAACCCTGAAAATAAATTATTTTATAAACGAAAACCAAATTTAATATTAAATCTTACTTTATTTCATTGCATTTTCCAACTTCTACGATAAAACTACCCAATTTATCAGATCCAATTATTCAATAAATAAACATTGTATAATGTAATAGAAATAATGTAATTATAATAATGTAATAAAAAATTGTTTAAAAAAAGTTATAAAAAAAAATATTCGATATAAAGCTCAATTCATTTTCATTACTTTTTTCCATGCTTATAATAACTAATAAAAATTATCGTCCTAATATACAGCACTACCTTCAAATCTTTGTATCTTTTTGATATCTTTCCAAATTCCAACTGCAAAGATTTTCACATCCTCCAAATTCTCAAACTCTTCATAAATTCACAGTATTTTTGGATAACACGCGTCATTCTCATGCAACCCCTAGCAAATTTGTAATGTAAAATCGGGACTGGGACAAAAGGGAGCTAATAATAATGGTTGGTGTTGAGATGAGTACAAAAAAAAATATGGCATGATGACATCAGTGGATTAACGACGTGCTTTAGTTTTCAAAGCGGGTATTTCAGCTGATTTAATTTTTCATTAAAACCTCATACCTCATTGGATACTGACAATGCAGATCGAGATTTTATAGGCAGTATGGTAGATTTTCAAAAAATGTCAGTGGATTATGATAATATAACTGGATTTACGTATAATAAAGAATCATAGTGAAATTATAAAGTATATGAGAGTTTAAGGTTAAGGTTAAAAAAGAGAATTTTTTGTCGGGCTTTGGTAAACAAAACGACTGAATGTCTTCAAACCTCTGGTAAATCTCTTTATCCTTCTCCTGTTTCCTCTAATTCTAATATGCGGTTTCTACATACCACATAATTAACCGTCAACACCCTCAAATTCCTGTTACTTCATCCATGCATCAATCTGAGATTTGCAAATGTTTTAATGCAACATGATGGAGATATTTAAGAGGACTTAAGGGAAGCCGAAAGCGAAGGATTAAAAACAGCTTTAGAGGAGATTAATATGGAAGTACAATGATACTTATGATGATACTGAGCCAAAAGAGAGTTCAATAAATTTGAAGCATTAAGAAATGCTTTGAGGTAAACGCAGGAATCAGGAAGTTGTTATGAAAATAAAGCAAAATTTGAAAGATTATGGAGATCTAGAGGTACGACTAATGGATTAGAATGGAGTGCAGCACTGAAAATAAAGAAAGGAATATTAAAGAATATCAAAATTTTTTAGAAAAAATTTAACGGAAATTGGGCGAAAATCATCAGATTTTGGATAATACAGACAAGTTTCCTTCTAAACATAAATATATTAACACAGCAAATTATTATAACAAATTATTATTGTTAAAAAATTGTGGAGATGTTAATTGTTTATTTATAAGAATTTCAAAGAATTTATTTCTAAGAAAACTTGTCTTGTTAACTTACAGCACTTTTCGCATATTATGAAAACTGACACGTCTTTTTGTGGTATTTAAAGTTGTTGCATCTTCGGCGCCTGCATTCTGCCATTGTTTCAAAATCTAAAAATCTCGAAAATTTAATGAAAAATTAAAATAAAACAAAAAAACAAATCTACGGCTTAACTTTCTCCATTTGCTTTATTTAACTATGTTATTAAAATCGATTTTATGAAGCAATATTTTTTCGTTGCAACCCGTTTACCAAATCTAAATCTTCCTTTTTCACTGGCTTTTTAGACTCAGACTCTTTCGCTATAGCGCCATTTGACAATGGATAAGGAAATAAGTAAGTAACCACTTTCACCTTTAATGACAGGTTTGCTTACTCCCCTAAAAAGCAACAAAAAAATGAGCGTCAACTTGTTATCAGTCGAGCCACTCTGCATCTTAATGGAATGTATTGCGTTCTTATCGCATAATTTCTGTTAAATGAACGGAAAAAAACTTGCAGAAGATCGCCGTTTTTTATCAAAATTCTCCATACGGTATAACTTTGATGCAATTCCTGAAATCAAGAAAATGAAAAGACTGTTTGAATTTTTCAGAAAAATTTACCATTTATTAAAACTTTCTTAGGAAATTATTCCATCGGCCTAAAGCCTCAAATAATCTTTCATCTTACTGGATAACTAGGATTATAAATCACTGTCGCCATTATTATCATCTAGAACTAAGCCCAGCCAGACCTTCTCCCAATATAACCAGTAATACCAAAACAATCCACCCCAACATTCTAAATTTAAAAAAATTAAATAATTGAAAAGTTTGAAATTTCGAAATTTCCCGCAAAACCGATTAATGCTAACAATCGAATCGGATTAAACACTAAAAATCGGACTGAAAAATATCACTTGTCTCACAGAGATTGCTTGGGTCTAGTTTGTCTGGAGTGCATTGTATTGGAGCAGGGTTATTTTGAGCTTCACTCACAGTTTTCTAATTTTTTTCAGAGTTGCTTTTGTGAATGCTAACTATCTGCTTAATTACTTAATGAAAGATCTATTTTTCTTTTTCAAAAATAGTAAGTTCTATATTTGAATCAAGAAGGTGAAATTATTATACTTATTATCTTATCCAAACATGGTGAAATATCCAGGAATGTTTATGGTTCAGTCTTTCATGGTTCTGGTGCATGGTGCCCACAGCACATTTTCAGATTACCGAACATTCTTTGAATATAGAGTTCAAACTGAATGAAACAGAAAATCTTCAAATATTCTTTATATTATATAAAAATATTCTTTTATTGCGAAGCCACAGTCCTCTTCAAAAATAAAAGAACTGCATTCAACAGTATAAAAAGAACAGCTCTGCTCACTTGAATGTGGTCTGTAATTTAAAAAAAGAATATTTGAAGATTATCCATGAGTTAATGAATAAATATGGACGAAGAGGACTGTGGCTCCGCAATAAAAGAATATAGTAAAGAATATTATAATAACCGTTAGTTATGTAAACAACCGACAGATTTCATACGCGTGAGTGAATTATATCTGAATAGTAACAAAAAAAAAATTTATATTTCGATTAGTACAATTTAAAGAAAATAAAACTACGCTCGAATCTTAGCATACATACATATATCAATAAGCCCGAAATTTAAAATTATACCTACTTATTCGACAACATCAACAACCAAAACTCGTACAAGTCAATAAACCTTATCTTAATTATGTTATCTTAATTATCAGAAAATATTTCTGGCAAATATATTTCAATTTTTTTATTAGTAGTCTCGAAATGATAAATTTGGTTTGCATCAATTTTTATGTCCTGACCGTATATTTTAAAGGTACCCATTTTTTCAGGGAAAGATTTGAAAATAATTTTTACGTTTTTCGCCAACAAATCGTTTTCATAAAACTGATTCGGTGAGTTTGCTTTGGTATTGTTTCTGCAGCGAGACCAGCCTTCCTTAATTATTCCACTTCTGCCCACATCGCTTCCACTCATGCGTATGTGCAATTTGCTTGTGTCCTATATAAACTAAATATATGAAAAACGGAAGTTTTATTTAGAATCTGATATCTTTCGAACCATAATAATTTTAGAGCTCTAATCAAAGGTTATTTTTTCATACTCTTTCCTTTTACCTTTCGTTTCTCTTTTTCCCCTATACTGATCAATCGTTTCATACTCATATTCATTTTCTCCTGCCATACTCTCAGCAACTTGTTTTATGGATAATATCGATAAATTAATTTATCGATATCGACAATAAAAACGGTTTCATAGAAGTAAAAAAAAAGTAAAAAGAAGTAAAAAAATTACGTCATGTTGTAATAGTTCTATAAGGAAATCGTTTGTTGATACAAATAATTCATTTTTGACTCCACATATTTCATTGTTTGTTGAATATTTTTCAGGTAACGTCTTCTTTAAATTTTTAGAACATAAAAATAAAAAAACTGATTTCCATAGGAAAACCAAAGAATTCCGCAAAAATAACTAACGGTTTTTTTTCGCATTCCTAAGAATGAAAACCACCATTTATTGGAATCATTTCTGACTGGCTGCAAACATTTCTTACAACCCTCGCAGAAATTTTCGTAAACCAATAAAATTTTTAAATCGGTCGGATAATTCTAAAAAAATTTTTATTTAAAATGATTTATTTCACAGCTCTTATGAACAATCGTTTAAAAAAAAATTTTTTTTAAATTATTAAATACATAAATCCTTGAAAAATGAACAAAAATTAAAAATTAAGAAAAAAATTCGTACCTTTATCATTTCCCAAATATATGAAATGCGTCTTTTCAAATTACCCCAATACCATAACTTTTCTTTGCGCCTTTCAATATATTCATACCAACCAGCATGAAAATTCGATAGGCCATATCTTGCTTTATCGTCCGATTCCTTAGAATTATTTTTTTCCTAAAAAATCTAAAAATGACAAATTTTTCCGCTTATTCTAAAAATAACGAATAAAATTGATAAACGAACAATAAATATACCAAAAAAAATTTGGCAATGTGGATAGTTTTTATTTTGCCTTCGATAATTGCCATTGCACTTTCACAAAAACTTCGTACATCATTCTGATCAGCTAAAATAAAGAGCAATAAAAAATGAGATGTTTTTTATGCTATTTGCTAATAAATACATAAATACTAACAAATAAATAAATACACTATCTAATAAATAAATTTAATTAAATTTTATAAAATTATGTTCTTTGTATCATATTTATTATGTTTAAATGCTCTTTATTTTTCTTTTCATCATTTCTGGTTAGTTCAGTCAATTAGCTTGTTAAAATTCTGTCATTTAATAATAGAAATACAGGTAGGACATTATACCACTCGGATTCTCGAAAAAGAAAAAACAGATTATTATTTCTTTTGGAAACAGAATTTCAGCATCAGTCTTCCCAAATAAGAATAATAAAGCAATAATCCACTAAGCCATTCTATGTTCTTAAATGGATAAAAGTGAAATTTCATGTAAAAAAGCAATGCATCAAAATTTTTCACTGGAAATTGAAATCACCATTTAAATCATTTTTTCTGAATCAAGGAAAAAATTATCCTGAAAAAATTTGTCAAAAGTAAACAAATAAACTCACAAAAGACAAAGGGAGAAAGATTAACAAGCGAATAATTTTCTTTGCCAGCAGGGAAAATTCCTATAGGAAGTTCCGCATTTTTCTCACTATTATAAATTGCTGAGAGCACATCACTTACTGTACCATCACCACCAACAATATATAACACATCTGCCTCTTTCGAATCCAGTGATTCTGCTACTGCTTTCAGCTGTGCCTTATTTTCAGTCTGAACGAGAAATAAAAATAAAAAATTCCATCTTTTTTTCAAAAAAGTGAAATCCAAAATTCCAAATTTCCACTTTTTCAATAATCTTATTGAGCTACAAATTATAAGCATTGCATAATGCAAATAGGAAAACTCGCATCATTCTGATTTATCTAACACTAACTTCAACAATCTAATTAACACTAGAGCAAGGTCCTGTTGTTGTTAGAGAATCGTCATTTGATAGAGGCTGGTTATTAGCAATTCCGAATTTTAATGATTTATTCCACTCAAGGCGAAAAAATCATGCTATTCAGCGAAATCATCATACGACTGAACATTTTAATCTCTACGGGGTGAAATGTGATCAAATATGAACGAAGTACCTCGATTATATCAACATGAAGGCCAGCAAGATTAAGTAACGGCAAGGCATAGGTTTTGAAAGAATTAAAAGTACGGCCACCACCAGCATGTGTGTTCACTAATACTGCTACCCGTCGAGAAGGAAGAACTGACACCTCAGGAGTGAATCCATATTGCAAAGCCTTATTAGCATATATCGTGCGAATATCACAATTCCTATTTAGATTTTACTATCAGGGTTGATTTAGAAAATTTTGAACCCACAGATAAAGCAGAAATATTTTCGAAGTTTTCCATAATTTTTTCAAATCGATAATTATTAATTATGAGGAAGTTTCTTTTTCAAATAAAAATATCACCTTTTCCAACTCCAAAAAAACTGTTGTGCATAATAAAGTGCGACCACAGATACTCCAACCTTCTTTTTGTGTGTCCAAAAAAATTTGCCACAGTCTTTGATCTTTCCTGGCAATTTTCGCATAATAAATCGATTCTCTAACTTTTTTAATTCATTGAATGGCCTAAAAATAATGTAAATATAATTTTAGAAAAAAATTACATTTCAAAGCAGATTTAATAATTTAATTTATATCGAAATGATTCTGACTGTTCCGCTAGGGCCTTTCGCAAAATTCACACAATAAGATATTACTCGCAAAATTTTTGTACGATATTCAGCAACTTTACTTGCTGAAAAGGATTAGAAAAAAATTTATTAATATTTATAAAAATTCACAAGAAATATTCAAAAGTCAAATCGGCATTATTTAAAGAGAACATTGATTTAAGGAATGAAAAAAGGCAAATAAACATCGACTTAGACATGAAACAACGGTGTACAATATGTTTATGTTTAAGCATCAAATATCAAATATTTCATATATATATATATACATAAATATGAAAAATAATTGTACAGCACTTCTGGTCATTTCTGGTATCATTTCTGGTTTGGCTGACTCCACTGATAAATAAGCTCGCTCGCGACTAGGAATAGATCTTATTACTACTTTCAACACTTAAATTAAATTCCGACATTAAAAGTCAGAGGATAGGACGAAATAATAAATAATCTGCCGATGGTTAGAAAAATTTGTTTGTTTCCAGTGTTTTTGTTCTGTCCTATTTTTGTTTCTATGGATTATTTCATCTAATTTCGACTGTATCTTTCATGAGTGCAAAAGGATTTTCGATGTTCAGAAAAAACTCATTTTAGGCAAAAATTTTAATGATTTATAAAAATTTTTTTTGGATGTTCGCAATTTAGACAATACATTACTTGGCCATACCATACAACACAATAAAACGAAATAAAAAATATTAAGAAAAAATAGCCTTTTGAAGAAAGCGTAACAAATAAAAACGATTGAACGCTGCACTCATCATTTCGTAAACCTTCACCACTTCGACCGCGGTTTTTTATCACATTTTTGTGCAACATTTCTGTACAGGCAAATTTACAACTGTTTTAAATTATCGGCCACAAGCTGAAAATTGTTAATGCAAAAGAGACTTCAAAAAAATTTTTTTAAATTTTCAGAAGTCACTGAGATTTTTGACTAAAATTGGCATTTTCTGAACGTTTTTTTGCACTCATGAAAGATACAGTCGAAATTATATGAAAATTTTTTTTCATCTTTCTAACCATCCACAGATCGTTTATGGTTCTTCTATGAGTGGAATTATTATATGAAATATTATAAGTATGTACAGACAACTTTCGTATGAATTATTGCATTTAGATCACCAAATTCCAAATCAAAAAAGTTGAAAAGGCAAAGTTGCTTCTAAATATATTTATTTTTGCGAAGAACCAAAAATTACTAACCATTTTCTGGTTAGACTAAAGTCGTCGATTGTTGATATGGTTAGAAATTTTCATCAAGGAGTTACTTGGCGGCAGAAGTACAAGAAAGTCGCCAACACGACCGCGATTCTTTAATAACAGGTTTACTTCGTCACGGCCAGGGACTGAAGCAAGCGCGCCACACGGCTATACCCCTTCTCTCCAGTTTTAGGCATGATTCCTCCGTTAATACATTCCCTCGATCCTTAAATTTGGGCAATAAGAACTTCACAATATACTCCTCTACGATTCGAATGAAGAATGTCTCGTCAATAGAAAGAACATTTCATTTCGACTTTTTAAAAGCATTAGATTTGAGAATTTACATGATTTTTTTGCTACTTTTTGTCTGAGCTTTAATATATTCGTTATCCCACGCACTTCATTGATAACTTATTGATAATTTTTCGCAAACTATGAAAAAGGAAATATAAATCTTCAGCTGAATCTAAAAATATAAAAAAATAACTAAAAGTGAAGAGCGAATGAGATGATCGAAAGATATATTTCGACCGCATCCTAGGCTCGATACCTGTTCCTTGGCCAAAGCCAACTTGCCACCAAAAACGAAACTGGCGTAGCGCTCGAAAATCACCTATCTGTCGCCAAATGATTTTCTCGCCCCACCTTCCCTCCGCACCCAGTAACGCCAACTTTGTCCTTCGAATAACAAGATGCACACAAGCCATCGTCTTTCATCGAGCTCGTTGCGACCCGAAACTCAGCTGTGGACCCTGACAGACAGAGAAAAGTTCGGTACCTACGGTGCTGGAATGCAGAACTGTTTGACAATAGGTATGTTCGTACTGGCGGCTTTTCCACGCCATTGAAGGGATGTGTGTTTCGGCTACAGTTGGTAAGGTGAGCTTTTGTTTACAACTTTGGTTCGATTAAATTACTTTGGTTTACGCATTTACCCTGGGGTGTTTTCTCACATTCGCTAAAGCTCATTGGTTGTGGCCGTTTTCTGCGGTGGCGGCCCAGGCCGTAAACATTTTACATTTTGATGGCCGAACACGTGAGATGCACATTTCATTGGCTGTTAATTGTGAAAAAACTCGGCAAGGTTGGAAATTATGATAATTATGATAAAGTCATGATAAATCATTTACAGTCTGTATTTCATATTTTCAATATTCAGTACTTGCCGTTTTATTTATTTTTGAATTTATCAAACTGATGAAGAAATAATATTGCATTCATAAATCACAATTCTTTTGTCTCAGATTATTTTAAATCTTCTAATCATATTGCATGGATGACAACGGACGACAAGAAGTGCCGAACTTTTATCTCTTCAGCATGGTTCCCTAGGTCGTCCATCACAATCAGCATTTCTGAATTGGCTGACTGAGGCATTTTGATTACGCCATCTTGGATGTTCATCTTATTTTTGCTACCATTCAATATCTACTGAAATTGCGTGAGGGAGGGAGTCGTTATCTTCTCAATCCTTTAACAAGTTACGAAATATGTAGCAACTCCTGTCGTGGGCAGTAAATATTTTTTCTCTGGTAGTATTGTTAATGCATTTAGTATTTGAACGAAGGTCAATGCATTCATCTAAGACATATCCTAGACAAAAGTGATGAAAAGGAGATAATTTCTTAATATTCTCCACTCTCATTGGCCGTCTTTCGTATCCATATAGCTAGATCGAACGAACTGCAGCTATATGGACTCGGATTTTCGTCTTTATGGTAATTTTGCGACCGTTCCATAAAGGCTTCGTAAACCAGAAGAACTCGTTTCTAGCTCCCGTGATCCGAGTTGTAATATCATCTTTTGGGATTAGAATGGATCCAAAATATTTAAAGTCAAGCACTTCCTCAACCGGCGATGAATTGATAAAAATAGGTATAGGTATTTTATCAGCATCTTATATAAAAGAGAAAACACTTTCGTTTTTTTACATTGATTTTGAGTTCAATTCTCGTTGCATTTGTTGGTACATTGTTTAACATTATTTGCATTTCATTATCTGTCAGCAAAAAGGACTATATCATCAGCGTATTCAATATTATAGGGGAAAGAACATAGCCTTGACGGACACCAGTTCTTATTTTGAGTTTGTCAGTTCCACATATACACGGACCTGCAGCGACACGCTCATAAAATGCCTTTATGAGTCGAATGATCTTCTCTGGAACATCATCCCGTTCCATCACCCTCCAAAGGGTCGTTCTATCAATTGAACCGAATGCCTGCAAAATCGATGAAACATGTGGCAGTGGTTCGCAAATATCTGAAACGATGTTCCAGTATCCTTCTTAACGTGAATAAATGGTGAGCAACCACGCCCCGGACTGAATCCAACTTGTTTAGGGCGTCCCGTACCTCCATAAGTCTACTAAGTCTACGGAGAAAGAAAAGCAAAAATTTTCGCTGAGACGTCCATTAGGCTGATTCCTCGATAAATATCGCAATATGTCACCTTTCTTGAAAATTAGGAACAGAATCGTTTTGTTCCAGTTATTTGGTAATATTTTTTTTTCCATACCAGAGAGTACATTAGCGAGGATTATATCTGTCACCTAACAAAGAAGACAAAAGGGAGTAGAATGGCTTAATGAATTGTTTCATCAACTTGATTCCTGTTCGAATGACACTGGCAGCCTATATTTCCATTGCTTAATTTCTAATCCGACAAATCAGCAGAGCGAGTCGACTGCAATGGTGAGTACTATTTAAAGAAAGAGGGGCTGTATGGTCGAATACTTATTTTTTAATTTTTATTTCTGATATTTCTGGTTCAGCCTATTCTATAAACAGGAATGAACCTTTTTTTTAAAAAATCCCGAGAGTCAATCCTCATCTCTCTCTCCAAAGGATTCTCTAGCAATTGATTTATCGTATCATTATTAACTATTTGAGCGAGTTTCTCAAGTCAGTTGAAAGAGCCACAAATGCTGAATGCTGACTATTTTTTTGCATAATTAGCTAGAGGTAAAGCATCATGTTTAACGTGCACTCTTTGATTATTAAATTATTAAATTAAATTAATTCTAATATTCCTCACTAATCTCTATCTAAATAATCTAAATTTGAGTGAAAAATAATTCATATTTCAATAAATGATTAATATTTTATTTTGTCGCCTTATATTAAAGGAAATTTCCCATTTATTATAAATTTATAGCTCTTCATAGTTTGACGGATTTTACTTCAATCGCTTTGTCTTCCATCAGAGAATCATGCAGACGTTAGTTGGTTGTGTCCAGTATAATATTGTGTAAGATTACTCAATGAAACATATCGTCAAGAGAATTTCGCCCATTAAGTTATTCACTGAAGGAGGGGTAACCTAAAAATTTGAATAAAAAATGGTCCAACGAACTTCTTTTTCATTTTTCATTTATTTAAAATTTATATGAGCTAATTTGTTTCATAAAACTAATTAGGCATAGCTAATTAGACTGACATTATATAGTTGATGCACAACTTAAAATTTCAAAAATGTCAAAGTTCAGTGAATGGCCTTAAATATGCATTTTTAATTGAATTCGCAATTTTTTGAACAGTTTTTTCATTCGTTTGTCATTTTTTACTATATTTACCAGGGATTTACCAAGGATGAGCGCTTCCAATTGAGGAACAAACCCACTATACTCTCCTCTTCTTCGTTAAGCGACACTGTTGCCCGACGAAGCGTGGTGCGTTGGCAGAGTCCATGTCTCGATTTTCGATGGCGATCATTTTACCACTGTTATAGCGAGATATGGTGACGAAACAGATTATCATTAGGAAAAGAAGTACAGCTGGTCCAAAGCAGCATGCGATTGATAATTATGGTATTTATTGTTGGCAATCATAGTATATACTAATTTATAAGAGTGGTTTGTGTTGCATTTCTACCATAATCCTTTATCCATCTCCATTTGGCTACATTTCAAGACAACAATTATTTGAAATATTTTCATCTAAAAAACACCAGTTCTCGTGAAATAAATTTATCGAACAATGGTTTATGGTTCATAAAAGGATAAGTTTTTTGCTTCCTCGGCAAGGAATGGGGAAAACAAGAATTTTTATATGTGCATATTCGATAAAAATAGGAGACTATTGCGATGGTGAGATTACCGTGCGATATGGTATTGCGCCATTGTTTCAGTTATGAGTACACCGAATGTTACGATAAATACAATTATAACAAAGAATATAAGTAGAAGGCGATCCAGTATGGTGGCCAAAAATTCCCATTCTAAGTTGCATTGACGTTTCCTCTTCATCGTTACCACTTGTGTCTTTTTCTCATCCTGAAAACGATATATGTCTGCTTAAAATCCTCGAAGGACCATTGCTGCAATCTTCAGAACTTCAAAATATGAATTTAATTCAGTCTTATTTGGTACTTTTGAAAGAAATGGTATTTACTTTATCTACCATTGATATTTCAGACAAAGCTGAAAGTGCCAAAGCAATCGAACTAATCGGATCTTCCTTGTGTGGATTTTGCGAAGTTAAGTCAGCTTTTTTCGTAATAGATCTATTTTTCGCTGAAATTGTTAGTTGGCTTTAACAAATTTTATCTGAAATCTCACATTTAGCTCTTAAAGTAACATTTCGTCCACTTTATTCATCTTATTTTAAATTTTATAGAACTTTCAAATCTTATCAAACATTTGCAGATGAGCTCCTAGCTTCAAAATTTTTTCAATGACAGAAGCTATGCTATGCCGTGAAAGAGTCGTTGGTGGCAGAATATTACTTATCATATGAACGAATCGTTCATCTATATGCTATATTAAATGCTACATTTATAGACTGCCTTTTTTGTCTTCACATAGAAAAATGGACTGAAAAATGGACTCACTTTGACCAATATTTCTTGCAATTTTCGACCACTTTGACTTTTTAGGCGACTTTGTAGCGAATTCCAGCGAATCATTTATTTGTGAAGAAGGTAATGTTTTGCTAGTCTTCACTTGCGATGTTATTTCATTTGCTTCCTCCACATCTTTCTTCATAGGATTACATATCTGAAAATCCGCAGAATTAGCCTCATTTCAAAGAGAAAACAATCGAATTACCCAAAGTTCATTATAATATATAAAAGATATAAAAAATGTGGCAATAATCTTTATCGTTATCGTGCTTCTGTTACAAAGAATTTACAACTTGTTGCAGCAGTTCTGAATTTTTTTCCTCATCTAGTGGTTCCTCCTTTCCATCTATTGTTTTCTTCCACTTCAAATTTGATGGGCCACTCTAAAAATCGAACTATCACTAAATAAGCCATTTTGAATATTTCCTATATGAGTTGAATAAAAAAACGTTGAGACTTTAAAATTGATCAGTGGAAATCGTACATTAAGTTCGTCCCATAATTTCACTAAATCTATTGGTACTGAAATATAAATCCATCTAGTCGCATGGAGAAAAAATATTGTTCGTACATAACTTGGCGGTAATTTTCCATATTCACCACGACAATGCACAGAAAGAATAAAGCAAGTGAAAAATGTTCCAATTGATATGATAGCGATTATCAAAAGATAAAACCAAGCTGTAAATTTTCACACGGAAGTTTGAGATGCAATCTCTTGTGAGTAGTGAATTTATTAAATCATTAGTGGATCATTAAATGCGACATAAGGGCTCATAACAATGTTGTTTTCTCTAATAGTAACTAGATTAATTTGTCATGAGCTTGAAAATATGCAAGATAGCCAAGTAAATCTTTCTTGTAGGCAGATTTCTAATTGAAATTTTAATTAAAAACTTTGGCCAACCTATAAGCGGAACAATATCAGAAGTGCTTGGCATTTGGTCCGATACCATTAGCATCATTATAGACATAGCAAGTAAAGTAGTGATACCTAGGTTCACTTTTTCGGTTCGATCATCATTTGTTGAAGCAGCAGTGAAAAAGCCAATTATTGATACTAAATAAATTCTGGATAAGCGGTCATATGAAATGAAAGTTGATGTTTATATTACTTGTTTATAATAGATAATATAATCCAGGAAAGTTTGTAATCGCAGGATTTTTAAATATAACCTATCGTAATAATTGAAGTTGGAAAAATGAGATTAATCACGTAGTAGAATGAGCGCCTTTTTATGACGAGTGCTGCCTCAATTATCACCCAAGGATCATCGCAACATGCATATTTATGCTGCAAGCAAGATTTTACTATTTCTTACTACGCCTAAAAAATATATTTATGATTATATTTACACTTATACTACTAAGAATCTATGGTATTGCTTATATCAGGGAATTTTTATCTTCAAATGCTATATTTAGAAAAGTAGATCGGATGGCCAAGTGATATGTTGTTTTTTGCTAAAGTTCAGGTTCGACGGTTTTCCCTTGGTTGGAGTAAGTCTCTTATAAAAAGTGAGTTTTAGGATGCTGGTCTCATCTGTACTTCTGCTATAAGTCATTCTGCAGCAAAAGAATAGCAGTTAATTGAACCAACTAAACGAGAAATGATTAGAAAACATTTTCTAGGAAATTATTTACTTCTTTTCTATAAATATTAAACGAGACTATATCCCATTCTTCATTAACGATATATGCTTGCATACTAACACTTTCATCGGCTGAATAATCCAGAATTTTTCTGCTGTTCGTCCAAGACCCAATAATTATTGTGCAATTCTAGGAAAAGGTGAAAATTTATTAAAATAGATCTTTGAAGAAATGCGGAAAAAACATTTAAAGATAAACGAAAGAATAGATATTTGGTTTTAAACTACATTTCTGCTACAATTTTTAGACGAAACATGTAGCAATTACAATTAATTTCATTGAATTTAATCTTTTAAGCAAAATTCGAAAACAAAACTAAAATTTGGAAATTTTACTGATAAAAGATTTCAAAGCAGATTTTTATGCAAATTCTCGATCTAAATAAAACTATAATAAATAAAATTATATAAATAAATAATTAAGTTTATTTTTGTTAAAAAATCTTTTCTTACTTGTTGATCGTACGGAAAATACTTTATAGCTATTTTGCAGCTGATCCTATACAAAGCTGGATAAAGCATTGAACAATTTGCTCCTTTTTTTCCTTCCCAAAATCGACTCGTAATCTTTATATTTGTGTATCGTTCAATTTCATCTTGGCCCATTATTACACTAAAATCTCGATCTCGATATGTGTATATTATCGGAAAAGCAAAACTCGTCTGATTTTAATAACGCACCTATTGTAGATATATGTGTCAGGAATCCATAAAACATCATGAGGAACTATGGTAGTGTTTATCATTTCGTAGTCGTGTGGGTCCCAGTCGAGTAATTCATCCGACCAGCTCTTCAATTCACAAGTCTCAATTCGATTTTTTAAATTGTATTGTTTTAAAAGCTTAAATTTATCAGAATAATAATCCACCGTAATGGATTAAATTGAAAAATTGTTTAAGTCTGCGCGAGGAGTTTTTCAGAAGGATAACTGAGCCATACCTGTATCATCCAGATATTGATAGCGACATTTTGTGAAGGTTCATTCTAAAATTATTGCAGTATTATCGCCAAAAATCTTTAATTTTTTTTTTCAAATTTCTACGCACATATTACGCTGCTTGATTTCTTTTTAACAAAGTTTGTAGCAGTTAAAAACTTGCATGCTCAATCTTTTCTTTGGTAATCGCGTCTAATTACAATGGAACTAAATTGAAGCGATAGAAAAATTTGTTTTTTTGGAACTTATTTGAAGGCGTAAAATTAAGATTGGCTTGTTTAAAGTATAGCTAATTAAATATGATTTAACAAACCACATCGAGGATTTGATATAGGCTCATGGACAAATGAATTTTCAGAGGCAACGTATGATTTAGCACTGGACGATTCTTTGCGTCATATCTGGAATTTTTATGGTTCGCGATAAGAATTGAAGGATATTCAATTAAAATAATATAAATTTGTTTTTGTTGGTAACTTTTGCTGAAAAAATTGTCAAATTGTTAAATAGATGTAATGTTTTTATTACGCTTTACTCTTGGAAGGAGTAAAGAATCCGAGTAGTGCCGTCTACCATCTACCTTAAATGATTCACTAATGAAACTTGTCTGGTCCAACTAAACCAGCGAAGATCCCAGAAACGGTCCTTAACCAGAATTGATGAACGGTCTTAGAAGAAAAAAAGATGATTATTAAGCCAACAAAGATTTTAATATTTCCTGTGCAATAACCAAATTGTCTTACTTATCTGATGATAAAAGATCTCTTATTAATTGAACCATGGATGGATTATGTAATGGTAAATCGGAATTAAATAGAGAAGAGGTCGTTAAATTCATTGATATATTGGTAGATTCTGCAATTATTGTGAATTATTGACGGACTGAAGAAAAGGATAACTGAGATAATAATAACATAAAATTCAATATGAAACAATTTTACTTCAGCTGTCTTATATTTTCTACAAATAACACATATGAAAGAGGTAACAACCAATATTTCCATTAATGCTATCCCTTAATGAGAAAAATCTATCCTTAAAAGAGAATTCTGAGCCGTGTTGTTCCTTTCTTCCCAAGCAACTTTCACTCCAATATCCGGTAAATGAAACCAAACCAGAAATCGTGAGTACTCTTAGCGAAGCAGAAGGATAGAACTGGTCGATTAGTTCTTATATTAGCGTATTTCAAGAGAAGAATTTTAGCAATGTTTTTTGAAGAATTACGAAATATTGAAATATGAAAAGGAAAACTTACCAAATGAGGACTGAAAAATGAAAACGAAATTCGAAAAAATAATTAAATTTACAAAATTGCATGTCGGAATATGCATTTCTTTACTGCTTAATCGTAATCATTGTTGTGTAATTTTATTTTTGTGCCTTTTTTCAATTTCTGAATTTTCACGATTTTATTAAATTGGAACTAAATACACAGCGCAATATACTACTACATTGACTTTTAAAATTTCTGAAATTTATAATTTGGAATTTTTCGATATTTAAACTATAAAGTCCAAAATTATATCGATTATCGTTGATGGTCATTAACTTATAAACGTTGACCAAATTCTTACACAGACCTTTTGTAAAGTTATGAGACTGATCGGAATAATTCTAAAGTGTTTATTTATCTTTATTTAGCTGAGGCTAAAATTATAAATTACATTAATTATAGAAACTTGGGCTAAAACTGTGTAGTTTTATTGGTTAAAAAATTATTAAATTAGCTTGAAAACTGTTGAATATAAAAAAAAGACAACATTATCAATGGATTATCTCTCCTCCCCCACACCAGTTTAGAAAAATTATTTTGACTGATCTTTCAAGAATAAAATCCTGAAATGTTCTGAATAATTCTGAAGGGTGAAAAAAGAAATCAATGGAAAAAATGAAAATTGGATTTCATCCTGAAATTTCTACATATATAGAACTTGGAAGCAAAATTTCTATACTTAAATTTTTATTCATTTTTTGCAAAAATTATTAAAAACAAGCATTTCTATTTATAATTAAAAATGGTAGGAAACCATAAATCTTTTGCAAGGTCATAAGAGTTACATTTATGTAAAGTAAAGGCTTCATTCTTTCTTCGTAATATGGTTAGTAGTAATCATTTGTGCTCTTCCTCATATATCGAATTAGGTCTGAGTGAATCAATCAGCAGCTCTTATCACTTTTCATTTTTCAATCTTTCTGATATTGTTGTCAAACGTCGCAGATCTGAATCAATTTTATTAAACTAGTCATTAAAAGTTGTTCTAATCGATTATTGGAAAGCAACAATTAGATACAAAGCGACCTATTTAGTATTTTGTTAGCCCTATGGGTCCTATTTCTGTTTCCTTATGGTAATAAGCCTGCTTAGAAAGTGAGCTCATAGAGCTCATGACATTGCTAGAAACCTACTCGCACCACTATCACTAAATTTTATGAAAGGGTCTCATCTTAAAAATGATGGGGCCAGCCAAATCAAAGATGAAAGCAAAAGAACATCTATAATTCATTAAATTTAAGTTAATTTTTTAAAAGCATATTCACACGTTCATCAATGCACATGAAAATTATAGGATATGATTAGAAAGTTATATAACAAGAACCGCTTCCAGAATATAGATATAAAAAATATAAAAAACGTATAATGAATAGAAATATCCAGTGATGCTTCATGATTGGCGAACTCACTCGTCATTCATATCGATATATGTGCGACCGTCAGCACTGATCCAGTTGATAACACCGATCACATTGATACCAACTGTCATAAATAGAAATAAGAAAACAAATGCTATAAAGCAACAGCGTTCAACTATTGTGGCAAGCCACTCGTACTCTTCACGGCTGTATTGCCTTTCCTGTCGTAGAGCAGCTGTAAATAAAGATAAGCACAATTCCTAGCACTCGTTTTGTTTTCAGAAAATTATAGCGGCTTCAATACTAAGAACCTGAGGAAGCCAAGTCGAACATTATATTATGCAAATATCTTAGATGAAAATGAATTTCTTATTTGAATCAAGAGGAACGTTTCGGAAGGTATGGCGCCATAAAGTAACCTGCAGAATTAATTGGCTTTTTCGGTATAATCTGCTGCGATTTAGGCAAAATCACTATATTGTTTATGTTATCGTCGATTAAAATATTCGTATCCATTTCAGGAGCTAATGCACCGTTTGTTGTTTGTGGAGAAAATTTTTGACTATCGTCAGTACTTGCCAGAACCTGTTGAAAGGCAGGTTTGAAATACGACTGTTCTAAGTCTGTTGATACTGTTGACATACTTCGCGTCACTGAAATAATTTTAAAAATTTTGCAAGTGTTTTGGCGAAAACAACCTTAATCCATTCTTTATATCTATTTACAATATGCGACACAAATCAGTCATAAAAGATAGTATGAACTGCACTGAAGCACTAAAGAATGGTATGAATACATTTTCGCAGTTAAATGGTGTAAAAAAAGAGTTGAGCAAAATCTCAGCAAAATACTTTAATCTCAATGAAATACTTACTAGTAATGGAGGACGCTGGTAAATCCGTCAAACATTTATTAGGTGAATTTGCATGTTTCTGCGGGTTTCTTTTTTTTTTATAGTTATAATTTAGTGTATATTTTGATTTATTCTTCGATGATTGTTTATCGTTTAATTCATTGAATATATGAACAGAATCTGATGAAATTACTTTTGAATCCGACAGCATGGACTAAAATTTATGAAACAGAAAAATTTAATAAAAAAGAGAAAAATTAAAATTATAAGGAAATTCAAATCGTTTGAGAACGGATCCCAAAAACTGCGATTAATTCAGTGCCTAAAGCGGAAGCAGACCTTGATTTTACGGCAATTTTTATATATCTTCATACTAGTAAATGCCAGTGGACAACCTCACTACATCTGAGATGAGATGGAGCATCGGTAAATGATAATTTTCCAAAAAATTTTGCAATTCGAACAACTTTAGGTCCAAGGCGTTGTCCAAGACGGCCTCTTCTCTGAATCGCTATAATAATTGCAGATGCTAGAGTACCCATCGATATAACAATGATCATACTAAGTATGAACCATCCTAAAAAGATAAATTTTCTTTTACGTCTGCGTTCTGTTTCATATGGTTCCAAATTATGTAAAACTGCATAATCAAACCAATGAGAGGAATAAATGTTGATGTGGTTGGCATTTGATCTGATACCATAAGCATTAAAATGGACATTGAAAGCAAAGTTGTAATTCCAAGAGACATTTTTTCTTCCCTCGTTCCACTTGTTGATGATGTTCTAAAAATCAAAAGAACAATAGTGATTGCAGGAGAATCTCAGAACTAATACGAGAGGAAAATTGATTGATTGAATGATTGAAAGATAATTTTCGATTTCACAAGAATTTACTGGAGGAAACTGAATAGTTCATTTTGGTAGATTATTTTTATTGACAGATTAGCAAAAGGAAGTCGAACTTTAGTGGTAAAATTATGAAAATTAAATATTTTTTGGTTTCTGAATATTCAATATAGGAAACCTTTTTTGATAAAATTGCAAAATTAAATTTATTCTTTAGATGATTCCTGGAAAATTGATTCAAAATGCAAAAACGGAAATTATCTGACAAAGAACTGATAAAGTAATGATAAAAAATATTACGTAAAGAATCCTACGATAGCTATTAATGTGATAATGCTTGTTGGAATAATTAAATTAACAATATAAAATAAAGGTTTTCGTCGAAGAACTATCGTCAGATAAAGCAAAGTATATTTATTGGGACAACAACTATATTTCATTTCTTTTCGCCTTACTGAAAATTAATGAATAATTAATATAAAGCGAGATCTGAATAAATTTTATAATTTGAAAATTTCTTTTTTAACAATATTCTTTTGAAACAGATATTATTGAAAATATTTTTTTTTGCTTCTATTTTGCAAATGAACTTTTCATGCCCCATTTGCAGCATGGTACTCTACAATTAATTAGAAAATTTATTAATTAAAATATTTTTCTAAAAACACCAAACAGTTATTATGATTTGGCAAGCTTATTAATGTTAAGAAACGATATAATTGCACCAGAAAGCCACTTGGGGATAGAAGTATCGATACGTTCTCAGCGCAGTTGCTAGCAAAATGTCGTAGTTTTAGAATTACATGGAAAGTCAACCAGTTATTTAAATCGAAAAATAAGTAAAAAGATGAACCAATTGCTGATATGAAATAATAACTTACTATTTATCCTCCTTAAAATAAATGTTAAAAATTCAAAGACGGATTCTAAGTTAATGAATCAAGGATTGACGCAGGGTCTTAAGTGGCCAAATGTGTGCTTAAAGGCGACATTATGCCAGGTTATAATAAAACAATCCTAATAATCCCATAATTTATTATTCATAAATATGTATTTGTTCGTTTTATTAATATCTTCATCATAAATAAATGCGAGAAACGTAATATGAACATTTTTTTCTTCGCCTTAAAAATTTTTTTTCATTGTGTTAAAAAGTTACGGATTAGATTGGAGAGGAAGGGTGGTATCACCAATGTCTAAAGCCGTAAAATTGGAGCGCCTGTTCCAAATGCATCTATATATAACTTTTACAGGCTTTGCAGTTTTTTGCAAATTTCTTCACTTTTTTCTCCTTTCAAATGAATAATAAGAAAATATCACCTGCCGTCTCCAAAATTAGCCATCCCTCATTCTCTAAATAGTTTGATGTGCCTATTTTATCCGAATATGCAAAATAGTCGATGCCTGTTTGATCATAAGTCCAGCTTGAGAATGTCATTGTGCAAACCTGCAAGAGTTATTATTATTGTTAAATATTATTGTATTATTGTTGAATATTATTGTTAAAGGAATTTATTGCAGATAAAATATTATTTCCAATGTTTTTTAGGCGTAGATGAACCAAACTGAAATCTCAAATATGAACATAAAGAAAACTCGAAAAAAAAGAATTATAAACAAGATGTGGATATGTGGATAAAAAATGTAGAATAGAAGGAATAAAAAATATTTCTATGGAATATTTTGAAGCCATATTGATAATGAAATCACACCATTATTATCCATTATTATAAAGTCAAATAAAAAAAAGGCATAAATTAGCCGAGAGAGAGTTGTAATGCTGGGGCTTGGATCCTGCTTCCGACTGTAAGCATGGTTGTTAACTAATACAGGAAGAATGTTGGTTACTACTACTTTAGACCTAAGTAGCATAGCACTCGATTCACAAAATTATCTTAGCACAAACTGCAGTTTAACTGCAAAATGCAGTTAAAGTAGTGAAAAAAAATGAGTGTGAAAGGCTATATTCACTTTATATAAGTGCGTTTTATATTAAATAACTTCGGAAGGCGATGGAAAATTAAGAATTTCAATTTTCGCTGTTTAGAAAATTTCGACATGGGAGCAATTTTCAAGGTAACACTCTATTCACGATTTCAAATTGGAGTAGCCATATATCACTGCATCTGTTTGGCCAATCTTTTGAGAAATTCACACCAAATCGTATTTTTCTGATTTTGGAAATGATTCCTCACTGCTTTCTTCATTTATTTCACTATTTTTTTATTCATAGAAATTTTTTCAGAAGATATATTTTTTAGCACAGTTGTTTAGCACAGTAGCACAGTTAGTTGTTTTCTATCAATATTTTGGTTGATTATCCGATTTCATGAATAATTATTTCGAAATTATTAAAGCGATTAACCTGAACATCGAATGGAAAGAAGCGAAGATTCAAAAGGCAAGAAAATTTATAGATTGTTGGATAAAGAAGTTCAACATGAACAGCCTGTTGTTCAACATCGGTTATTAATTTCGCATTTAAGAGGCGACGAGAATCTTCATCCTTCATTACAAGCCTTGAAATTTTAATAAATGAATTATGGCAAAGAATTATGGCAAAGTAAATTTCAAGACGATGGATTATTGGTTGATTTATTCGTCTTTTACCGTTCTATATGATATGAAAATTAAACTCTCGCGTTCCAGTACTTTAAGAAGTTAAGAAGAATACTTCATCTGCAGTTAAGAATTTCAAAAATCTCATAAATTCTCAAAAGCTTCTTGTTTATCGATGCAGAATTTTATTCTAGAAAAACTTTAAGTATTCAATGGTCCCAGTTGAATATAGTGGATGATGTTTCAATTATTTGCCGACCTTCAATTCCTTTTTCGATTCCAACAGATTTTAAAAATCTTACGAATTATAAAGAGTTGTATCTGGAAGCCAAATTGAACTATGTGGAAGTCGTATTTCAGTAATGTTTTCGTAATCTGATGGGTGCCAAAATAAAAGTTCATCGTTCCAGCGCTAAAAATTAAAATTTAAAAAGTTTTAAATTATGATATTGATGTCATTGACGAGAAGTTTTTGTACTTTTTATACTCAAATGTGTGGATTTATGCCAATAAGGCGAAATTTTAAACTGGTTCCTGAAAATAAATCAAAAATCTTATTAAAATTTATTTTGGTTTTTTATATTGATTCATCCTTTTTATCACAAATTTGCCATAAATAATTGGCCAAAATTTGAAGATTTATCAAAAGATTCTTACAAATCTTTCAGTGATTAAAATGAAAATTCATGAATGCTGCAAATGATTGGTGGAATGAAATGGTTTTAACGATATCGTAGACTGTGATTATATTTCTCTACAAATTACTACCATTATTTGCAAAAGGTAGAGTAGTAGTGGTGGTCTAGTAGTTCTTGCTAAGATTACCGTTTACATCTAGATTCGGACCACCTTAACAGTAAATCGATAATTAAAAATACGGATAACGGCATGGATTTACGTGTGTTACCTGACGACTCTCTGGCAAAAATTTCTAATCATGTTGATGACCATTATGCTGAGAGCCGACCAGACTTTATTACTTTTATTGCAAATTAATGTTCTTAATTTTGTGCATTGAAAATTCATTAAAACTCTAAAATTAAATAAAGTCGATCATAATTCATATTTCACGATAAAATAGGTTAATTTTCCATTCGACAATTTAAATATTGGAATATTTGATGTTAAAGACATACTTCAATGGTCCAAGCATTTAACAAAACATATTGTTGAGGTTCATTCTAAAAAAAAACAGATCAACACGAATCAATTTCACGAATCAACAATATAGAAAGAGGAAATTTTATCATTTGGCTAATTCATTATCTTGCTTTTACTAAATTTCCATAATTTGCACGAAATTTTCAGAAAAAAACAGAAGAAAAATTTAATAATATCCATTGGGAAAATTAATGCCTGAGGCTACAAAGCATAAAATAATAAATGAGAAAAAAGCGTTCTTGTGATAAAATTTTCATTTTTTCCAGCCATCTCTTAACAAATATATGAAAAATTACATTTATGAAGGAAACTGAAGAAATTTTACTTTTAATCAATAATTTATATTATAAAAAGAAATTTCGTTAAAGCTAGAATTTTTAATTTATATATTTAATTTTTATATATTTTATATTTGAATTACATCATAAATTTTTGTGAATTAAGTTACTGATAAGTTTAGAATTTTGTCGACATTTACTCATTTAAATCAAATGAATAAGTGATTTTGGATTATTGACTTACAAAGTTTCCTAATTATTTTATAATATTTTTTAATACATATAATTCTTAGAAAGTTTTCGCAATAAATTTTGTCAAAAGTTTTTATCATTTGCAATTTCAGTCACCAAAAATTTATGCACGAATATAACATTATCATGAATTTCTTAATTTCATTCGCCAACTAAGCCTCTATCAAATCAAAAAACTGCTTTCGTTTTACTGGATAATAGTTTAAACAAAAATAAAACTAGGAGTGTTGAAGAATGTTAAATTTCTCTCGACTAATATTGAAACACTCCCTATCCCATATTTTTTGTGAAAACCATCCTATTATATAATGGAGTAACGTCAGATACTGAATACCCCTTGGGAACGAGTTTGAAAAAAATCGACTGGAACTCTTAAGGGGTCGAGTAAAATATAATAAATAAGTCAAATATTGCATTTTTTTTTCAAATTTCCTATACATTTCAAATTATACTAATGAAAATTTAGTATGTTTGCACCAACGCTGAACATTTTAAATTTGTTTAAGTAATTTGCGCTTTTTAAATTTTTGCAATTTAAAGCTAAATTATTACGCCAAATAAGTAGGCAAAATAAGATCAGTTTCAAAGCGGGTAACCACTCAAAAGTTCCCTCCAACTTATATCATATATACATATATGATTTGCAATTTTTCTTTAATATTTTATTAATCCACATGGTACAAATACAAAATCTTTGGAAATAAAAATTCTAAGTTGGGAAAAACTGTTTCTTTTGCAGACAGCCCGTAAAAAAATGCTTATTTTTTGTGTAGGTGATAAAAAAAAATGTGAGAACCTTTGGAATATTGTAAGTTATCAATTAATTAATATGGTTGGAGTATGGGTCAACTTGATAAATAAGAGGCAAACTAGATTGATGTGAAAAAAAACTCTACGAATTGCATCGAATATATATTTAAGCTGCTCATATTGGAAGCATAGCTCGAAAAAATAAGTTGCTAACCAATTCCAGAATTTGATAAAGATCCATGCTGAAAGTAACATTTATCTGCTTTTTGAAATCCCAAGTCGGTTTCACTTTCTTATCGTATGACTCAAGAATATCTCGTAATAATTTCAACTGAGGCGATGTAAATGTAGAATGAACTGAAAATTATTTAAAATCAAGATTTTTCTAGATTTTTCAAGATTTCATTATTCTTAAAGTTTTTAAAGTTTTAATAAGTGGCGAAGAATCTCATCTTTAAGTTTCTAATAGGAAGATGAAAACTGCAATGAAGTATTTGAAAGTATATCTTTGATCCAGTGCCCAAGCTGATTAGGTTGATGTTTTAACATAGTTAAAATTGCTCAATTATTCCAGAATTTGGGGTTCAATACGTATATATTTAACGCACATTTTGGCTGCAAGGAATCTTACGTGAGCTTTATCAAATTCAATTCTTGAACTAGAACCATTAATAAACAAGAAATTTTGAAAATTTGCGAAAATGCATACCGAAAAAGGAAGTAAGCAAATAAAAATATGCCAATTGCATAGCTGCCGATTATTCTTTTCTCGTTCTACAGTTATGAATTTCGAATTAAAAAAATTAATTTGATGGTATTTGCATATAATTATGTTAAAATTACGAGATTTTCGAGAGCCAATCCTTTGAAAAGCTTATTGCTCTTCAAACATGCCTATAACTTCGTTACGTGATTATTGTTTTCGGTAATTAGCAAACTATCGAACGAACTATTTAAGTTAATGGGTAAACTGGGTTCGCAATAGCTAAGTAAATAAAAAATATGAATAGAATTCTTTTTAAGGCCAAGAACAAAAAATTTTTAATTAAGATAATGATAACGACCACTTTTTTTAGATTTGTTTGCAAAGATAGTGCCACTTTCTAAACTTGGCTCACTGCCGAGGGGCTCACTTTGAAATTAATCACAGGCAATAACAATAAATCGAAATGATAATGATAAAATTTGACAATTATGTATTTTAATATTTTAACAAATAAAATTTTAACAATCAAAATGGAAATCTTTGAAACTCTGAGTTTATTTACTGTAGTCGATTTTATTATTTATATTTATTACCTTAGAGCTCTATAAAATGCTATATGAAAGTTTACCCTTCGAAATACAAAAATTTTGTTATATTACAAAAATTCATGATTTTGAAATATTTATTGATTGTCACATTATTCACTTTTCCAAAGATAAATATATCTATGGGAATTAGATGTTAGTTGTACCAAATTCAGTGTACCTGTGAGCGAATAATTTGGTTTCTCAAACATTATTATTTTATTATTACCATAAAAGTTGGACAGTTTGATGAGGGAATAGCGTAAATTTTCTATAAAATTTGCTATTCATCTTATTCATAACGCCATAGAAAAAATAATAAAAAAACTGATTAATCCATGGGATATGTAAATAAATCTTTTGATTTTTGATATAATTGGCTGTAAATTAAATAAAATAAAGCAAAAACTAAATCTCTATTTTCATTTCGCCTTAAGCCTTAATTTTATGCCGTTGAAAAAGAAAAAAAAAAGAAAGAGTCATAAGATGTTTATTTATTAAAAAATCCAATAAAAAACATTAAATATAAAATAAAAAAATCTTTGTTTCTTTGACATTAATTTCATTGGCTGTCAGAACGTTAAAAAATTTTTGGTACTTAAAAATGGAAGTAAAAAGACCAACTGGGTGAGTCCACTGGACCAACCAGCTTTTTAATCCATATCGGAAGCGAAAATATAATTTATTTTTTTGGCGATTATAATGAGCTAAAATAAGGTTCTGGACAAGATTTACAGCAAAAGTTCAATTAATAATATTTTCTCTTAAAAGCTCAAATCATTTAAGATTAATGAAATTTGCAACGCATCAATCAACGATAAAATTTTATATTAATCAAAATTTGAAAAAAGAAATAAATATATTTGTAAAAGATGAATTATTGATAATGATCGCTTTCCAAACAGCTTATATGATTAAGTTGATTAATGAATACGGTAATGAACAGATGTGGGGGAGGAGAGGGGGAAGGGGGATGGAAAAAGAAAATAAAAAAATCATTCCCCGATCCTTAAATCTGAAAATATTATGAGTAATTTATTTATTAAAAATATTTTTGCCGTTCACATTTCACCTGAATAATAAAAAGAATGGAAACGTTTGCAACGATCCATGTCAATAAGTTAATAGAAACATGGTTTTGCTTCCTGTTCTTAATTGCAATAAACTGGAACTGAGAGTCTTTTTCTCTTCAAGTAGTTCTCTCATGAAAAATCAATCCAGACAAACTGTATGTACTTCGTAACTGAATCTCTTGGGGATGAAATAGGATGAGAAGAAAAAAGTAGATTTTAATTTTTTCCTGGCTTGTATTTTGACTTTATTTTTCATGGCTTCACTTTCACTTTCCATTTTACAATTTGTAATATTCTATGATAAATTTTCCCATTCTTTGTTAAAAAAAATAATTTTTTGTTAGGTTAAACGAATTTCTATTTGCCAGTCTCTACACATATGCTAAAATAGAAATTCTCCGGAGTAATTATTTCGTCATTGAGCCGTCGAAGCATTTTTATTTATTTCTGCAATTTTTTGACTCAAAAATTCAAATAAAAAAAATGCTATTTCAATGAATTCGCGTGAATAGATTTTCTTTCTCGCCTTCTGTTTGAGCTAAATCTTTTCTAATTCATATGATGAAGCAATTGGCTTGAAGTTTTTTTAACACAGGATTTAAATATTGTTTCGACTTCTGGTTTTCAATTGTTTAGATAATAAAGAAAATTCAAGTAGCTTGTTTTTCAAGAGTGCTCACCACTTCCTTTAGGTTGAGCTATCGAGCCAGATAAAGCTTATGCAAAGATTGCGAGGTACAGATAGGTCGCCAACATCATCCGGGGCAGCTTCGTTCTTAATGGATACTGCTCAAGCATTCAACATTCAGAAGCATCCATTCCCTAAGGTGTTTTTTACCAATGATTTCATTATTTTATGAAAATAATAATTTATCGAAAATACCTCTTTTGTCAAATATGCTTTAAAATAATCAAAATAATCTCTCACGATTTTAGGTCATTTTATTTTAAATTGAACCAGTCTGAACTGAGATAATCGAGTGGTATATTGCTTCGACTACTTTATATTCAAGCGCCATAGGTTTGATCAGTGTTGCAGCAAGACTTATCGTTGAGAACAAAATCTAAGTGGCTTATTCGTCTATCCCCAAGTGATTCTCCAGAGAAAGGATAACCATTATGAATGGCAAATGATGTTAAAAGACGAAAAACTAAGGCAGAGCATTTTTTTGCTTAAATTATTTTGGACTAACAAGTAAAGATTTGACATGGATCATGAATTTTTATACGCATATAGCTATGAAATAAATAAAAATGAAAAACTAAATATAACTATTAAAAATCTTTTGGTTTTGTACAAATATCATTTCAATTATAGTGATAAAGCAAAGCCAAGGAAAAAGATTCTGCACAAATCTTAACACTTAAAGAGCAAATCAGAAAATCTTTTTCTAAAAAAGCTCAAAGCACAAATGCTCATAAGCATTAAACCAGTGTATTGAATAATTGTTTTTACTTTTCACTTATTTTGTCGAATGCCAATTAAAAGGATGAAAGTATTTTCATTGAAAGTTGCGCCAAATCGCGAGTAAAAAGATTTTTACAAGAGTAGATTTCACAAAATTTTGGAAATTTTAAAAATAAATTTTAAAAACATATAACGCATATACTGCATTGCATAGTGAAATTAGAGAAATACCAAGGATTGAAAGGGGAACTAGAGAAGTTGCAGAAAATAAAGGCCAAAGTAAATTCAGTGATAATTGGAGCACTTGGAACTGCGACCTGTAAGCAAGAAAAGTGGTGGTTTCAACAAATTCCATCAGAACAACATCAGAGATCTCTATCCAGAATAGCTAAGATACTACGCAGAACCCTCAGTTTCTTAGGCTTTTGATAGAGATTGAGGATGATCATGATCAACCAAAGGAGGGTGAGAGAAGGATTTTTTTAAATATTAATATATATTGCTTGCATGAATAAAATTTCGGAACAAAAATCTTATTTGATATCTAAATCTGATATTTCCTGGCTTCTCATGATCATCAGTAATTGCCACAACTTCAATATAAAATTATACAAAATTTTTTAGCATCTGTGATGAAAAAAATAATCCAAAATATAGATAGAGATAAATTTTATACAATTCCTATAAATTCTCATTTAAAAAAATCATGTGCTGGTGATCTTCGTGGTGTTTTTTTGCGAAAGCGATTCCAGGGTAATTTCAGGCAGCATTCACAACCAATGGAGTTAATCAGAAGTGATAATTAGCTAAAATAGATTAAGGCTATAAAATAATTACGACAATAGTAATTTTTTTGCAAATTTATTCACCCAACTTATTCATTTTTCCACTAAATTAAATTTCTTACTATGTAATCATAATGTATTTGGCTTCAAAAAAATAAATAAATAATTATAATAATTGATTACTTCATTATAATTATATGAATAAAAAGAAGGAAATTAAATAATTAATGGAAAGTGGCGATTGATGCTGACGGTGAAATCCACAAGATAAGATTAATTAATTCTTAATTACATATTTTTTATGCATTTAGATGTTATTTAGACTGAAAAATACCATTGGCAATATGCTTCATAAAAAATTTAACTTATCGAGGTTATTCTAACAAATCTGAACGGAATGAATAACGGTTATTTTGAAAATTCCTCGAAAAGCAAGTGAGTTGGAGAAATACAGGTTTCAGTGAAAGTCTAAATAACTGATCTTAATCGAAGCAGCATACCGCTTGGCAATCCCATTTCTGCTATTGGAAATCTATAAAACTTAGCAATTCCATATTTAGGTGATGAAAAAGAAAAAGCAAAATGATATGCCAACTAAAAGTAATCTTTAAAAATTATTACACTATTTTTCATCACCTAAAATAACTTGTTTGAGCGAAAAAGATTCAGGTAAACGATGCTATCTAATCTAACGTTATATAACGTATACGTTATGCTGCTGAAGGATCCAACAATCACATTATTTCAATTAAATTATTCGATTAAAAGTTACTCTTCTTTGTTATATAAATTACATAAAATTATCCAAATTCATCTATCTAAAAGCATGAATTCGAGTTTGATATGGTTTTAACTCCACTGAGATTAGTTGAGAATTAATCAATCAAAATGCTCTTTTCCAAAGTAACCAAATGAATTAACTCTAACTTCATGCCAGCCATAAATATTTAATTTATGCAAGAATTTTTTTTCGAAAGTGAGGTCTAAGGAAAATGAGGTCGACCAAACTATAATAGATGGATAACATTTTTCACAAAAGATTTCAAACAAAATTTGAAATGAACAGGAAGAAATGCATTGATAAGAAAAAAAGATAAAAATTTTTGATAGATTCTTGTGAAGGATTCGTAATATTTAGCTAGAAATTCTTTTGGAAAAATTTTAGCAAAACTAAAAAACATGTTCTCAATTTT